ACATGAGTTATAGCCATGGCTATAACCAATAAGATTTTAAGTACAGTCACTTAGGCAATATTGAGCCAATGGGAAAGCAAGTCATGTAGCAAGTGTACATGGAAGAACAACATTTCAGGAAGGATGAGTCCAAGGGTCTTGGTCACCCACAGAGGTGACTGATGTCTGTGTATACTTCATTAGACCACATATTAACCACTTACCTTATACCCGGTCATTTTGTCTTTATCTTGAGGCCTGGCTTCTGACACACGCACCTCCAGCCATAGTTGTCATGCGTTTGTATCATCATCCTGACTCTCTTGAGGGCCTCTCTCCGTCTGACTGCATATAGTATTTCTGCCTAGCTTAGCTGTCTATAATAGTCTGTCCCCAGGTCAACAGTTGCCACAGTAACATCCTGGAATGGCTGATGGAACTCAGTGAGACTCTAGAGTGTTCATCTATTTTTAAAAAATGATATATCTCAGGGATAGTGAGATGGGAGAGACGCATAAGGCAAAATGTGAAAGAGGAGAGAACTCTCTGGGTGACTCATCTCCCATGTACCTCCAAGTGTTGAGCAGTCTAGAGAGCTTTCCCAGTCTGTCCCTTTGGATTTTTATGAAGGGAGACTTCATTGAGAGGATATCATTGATCAAATCACTGGCTCCTGGATATCAACTCAACCTTTAGAAACCTTCTCTCCCCTGGAAGTCAGAAGGTGGAGTGGAAGTTTGGTTTCTCTGATCTTTTGGTTAGTTCTCTTGGGAACTAGCACTCATCCTGAGCTCTCAAATAAGACACCTCCTAAGCAAAAAAAAGAAAAAAAAAAAAGACACGTACCTCCTGTGAGATTATGAGGGTTTTCAGAGCTCTGTGCCGGCCACGAAACTGGAACAAAACCAAAGTATATATTTCTATATATCATCACAGTGGCACACAGAGGTTCAGCTTCCTCTTTTGTACATGCATATCCAGTTGTCCTACCACCAATTTGTGGAAGAAACTATTCTCTTCTTGTTGAATGGGCTCAGCACCCTTGTTGAAAATTAACCTACCACCCCAATTCTACTTCGTTTATCTACGTGTCTATCTTTATTCCAGTAGCATACTGTTTAGATCCTGATAGCTTTGTGCTAAATTTAAAATGGGAAACTGTAAGCCCTTTTCTTTTCTTTTTTTTTTTAATGCATTGTTTTACTTACTCAGGACTTTTGCAGTTCCACATTAATTTGATAATCTGCTTTTCCAGTCTTGCAAGAAATGAATTTTAGTAGGGCTCCGCGGTGGATCTGCTTTGAATAGTACTGACATCTTAATAATACTGCCCAGTGAATGAACACCGAAGTGCTTGTAGAGCAGCAATATCTTGTAGTTTTCAATGTAAAAGTCTTTCACTTTTTTGTTTATTCATGGGTATTTTATTTTATTTTTTGGCTACTATTGTAAATAGAATTGTATTCTCTTTGGGTTATAGAGAAATATTAATAATTTTTACAATTAATTTTATTGGTGCATTACGGATAGATGTAATGATTATTCATTTCAGGGAATTTGTAAATGTACATGATATATCTTGATTTTTCTTTTTTGAAAATCTTGATTCTTCTCATTCCCTTGCCTCCCTTCAACCCCTCTTCATTTATAAAAGCTTTATTTCCGATTTTTCCTTTTATTCTCTTTTCCTTTCTACCCCTTTCCCCTCCCCCTTCCTAGTTCCCCTGTCTCTATTTGAGCATTTTCTACTTCATAATATCTATCATACATTGTGGTCCTTATTCACACTTTCATTTTCTCACACCAGAGAAACAATATGATATTTGAATCGTGTGACTGATTTGTTTCACTTAAGAGTCTGGTCTGAAGGTCCATCTATTTACTTAGAAATGTCTCAAGTTTATACTTATTTATGGCAGAGTAGTACTCCATTTTATTAAAAAAAAACATCTATCCATGCATCGATTGATGAGCATTTGGGCTATTTCCAAGGGTTGGCTATTACAAACTGCTGGTTGTGCATATATTGCTGTTATGTTGCCTTTAATTCTTTTGGGAAGATACCAAGAATAGCTAGCTCAAATGGGATCTCTAGTTTTAGTTTTTTGAGGGATTTCCACTGTGGTTGCACCAGTCTGCACTCCCACTAACACTGTAAGGGTTCCTTTTCCCACAGCCCCACAAGCACTCACTTGTTATTGGTTGATTTCTTGATAATAGCCATTCTTTCTGGAGGTGGAATCTGTTATTTTAATTTGCATCTCTCAACTGACCAGTGATGTTGAGCATTTTTTCGTATATTTGGCATTTCTACTTCTTCATCTGAGAAGTGTCAGTTCATTTCAGATGTCCATTTTTGGATTGGGTCTTTAAATTTTGGGACATCTGACATTTTGAGTCCTTTACATATTCAAGATATTAATTTTTTGTCTGAGGATCAGCTGACAAAATTTTTTTCCCACTCTAGGTTGTCCCTTTCCTCTGTTGGTAGTTTCTTTTGCTGTGCAAAAGCTTTTTAGTGAGATTCCAGTTGTAGAAACAGTAATAATTTTTGTACATTCCACTGTATCATTTTAGGAATTATCCCACTTCATCCAGGTTATTTTAATTTATTGATGTACAGTTCTTTTTTCTTATGCAGTTGGTTTTAATATTTTACTTTCATTTCTGATTTCAGCTACTCATGTTGCTTCCAGGCTATGCACCACAGTGCTGCTCGCAGCCAACTGGGATCATAACTTCAGCACTAGTAATGAATTAAAGGAAGTTTAAGAGGGAAGACAATTTATTTGTGAGAAGGAAAAGTCAGAAGACCGAAAGCTACTCTAAGAAGTGGGCAGGAGGCTCTGGACCAGATACCCAAGGACCTTTGTCCTCAGCTTTTTTTTTTGGTCCGGTGTTAAAGACCTCCCTCCCAGATCACAACTTGTCACAACCTGATTGTTTCACTGGACTGTCTTTGATCCCAGGCCACAGGACCCTAACCTGGGTGTCAATGCTATGTGGGTATTCCTAGGTGGGCTTTGACTTTCTCTCCTTCCCACTCATCCTTGTCAGGGCATCTCTGGGATTCCTAGGGGGAGGTTATGAGGAGTCTTACGCACAAGGTCAGTCTTGGAGTTAGCGATTAAGGAGATATGTGTGAATACCATGACCCTAGCATGAGAATATATGCATAGGGCAGAGGTGTACTTTTTTATATACTAAATGAGAGTTTTCTTGTAAGTGGTTGCCCTTTGTTTCTTTTGCATTTTATTGCAGGGGCTGCTAATTTAGTGAAGGTACCTGGCTTCCTCCCGCTCTATCAGCTCTCCAGCTTATTCTCTTAATTGCTCTCTTTAGCAAAGTCTTAACTCTTTTTAGTCAGGCCTTGCCAGAAAGCTTAATGAGACCTTTATTTTACTCTTTCCCTGCCTATATCTCATTTTTCCCTACACTCATTTTTTTATTAGTCTGGCTACAGGTTTGTTAATTTTGTGGATCTTTTCAAAGAACCAATTGTGATATCCTAGATTCTCCATTGTTTTTCTAATCTCTTTTCTGTCTCCACTCTAATCTTAATTTCTTCTTTTAGCTTTGGGTTTAGTCTTTTTTCTGGTTCATTAAGGTTGATTTAAGATCTTTTTTTCAAAATTTAGTTCATTAACTGCTATCTGTATTATTCTTACAGACACTCGTAAACAAACAATTATAATCAGTATGTCAAGAGAGTTTTGGCTATGAGTATATATACAATATTTACAGTTTTTCTTTTTGTGGTAAAATATACATAAAATTTTCATTTAGTTTTAAATTTGTAATTCAGTGACATTAAGTACACTGAAAACTGTTGTACAACTATTGCCACTGTACATCTCAGAACTTCTGCATCATTCTGAACTAAAACATTGGATCCATTTAACAAAACTATGCATTAGGCTCTCCCCAATCTCTGGTAAGCAGTACTTTGGCTCTATGGCTTTTTTCCTAGGAAATTCCTATAGTTATATAATATTTGTTCTTTTGTATCTAACATATTTCATTCAGTGTTATGTTTTAAAGGTTTATCTACATGTATCAACATTGCATTTGCTTTTAAAACTTAGATTCTTTTGCATTGTATAGACTAGATTTTATACCTGTTATTGACATTTAGGTTATAGCCACATTTTGGCTACTGTGAATAATGCTGTTATGAACACTAGAGTACAGATATCTACTCCAATCTCTGCCTTCAGTTCTTATGGGTATCTTTCTATAAGTCAAACTGCTCAGCCATACAGTAAATTTGCTTTGTTTCATTTTTTGAGGAACTTGTATTATCTTTAATATCTGCTGTTAGTTTACATTTCCACTGGCAAAGGATTTGGTTTTCTTTACACCCTGGCTAACACTTGGCATTTTACTCTTTTGTTAACAGCCATTGTAATAGGTATGAAGTGATATTGACTTGATTTCGTTTGTTTCTTATAGGGTCTCACCTAGTTGTCCAGGATGGCCTTGACCACATAGTCTTCCTGCCTTAGCCTGCTGAGTAGCTGGGATTACAGATGCATTTTCCTTAATGATGAGTGGTGTTTAGACTCTTTTGATGTGCTTACTGGCTATCTGTGTTACATTTTTCTGTGATGTGTGTATCTTTTTAAGAGAACTGTCTATTCAAATCCTTTGCCCATTTATTAGGTTGTTTGATTTTTGGTTACTGAGTTGTAGGAGTTCTTCGTGCATATATATATACACACACCCTAGTCCCTTGTCAGGTAAATGATTTGCAAGTGTTTTCTCTCATTTTCTGGGTTCCTTTTACTACATCCCCTGATGCACAAAGGCTTTAAAGAAATCAATTTATCAATTTTTTTTCTTTATTGTCTATGATTCTGGTGTCATATGCAAGAAATCATTCCCAAATTTAAGGTAATAAAGATTTTTGTACTAAGTGAACTAAAAGGAAAAGGTAAAGAAACCATTGTAAATATTAAAAGCTAGATGAAGACTGGAATCAAAGCACAAATTGTGAAGGGAGGAAAGAAATATTCACAATAAAGGAAGTAGAAAAGTTTATTGTATGAGTTAGACCACAAAAAATCTTTAAGATAACATTAAAATATTATAACTATTTGAGTAGATTTGTCTTTTGAAGATTTCTCTGGTAGCTACTTTAGTTTGTATAGTTCAGCATAAATACTTTGTGAATATTTCAAAAGGCCAATAAAAGGGCATTTCATGATGTTTCACCATATAATAAATTTATATTACAAAATATATATTAATTGATGGATTGCACTTTTGAGTTTATACAATATTCCTGATCCTACATTTCTACTGTACACTATAAATATTCAGGAATATAAATATTCCTCTTTTGAGATGTTTGCCATAATGAATCAATGGCTAAGAATCTGTTTCATTCATACACACACACACACACACACACACACACACACACATATATATCAGATTGTATCTATACAAAATACAGAGTCCCTTTTAAAGAACCAACTTGAGATCACATTTTGTTGAAGTACTTACTAATATGCACTAAAATATTTATTTTCTTTGTAGCATTTACTTTTGAAAGATTAACCCTTTCACCCTCAGTATTTCCGTAAACCTATTTTGTAGCCGAAAAAGTTTCCATAAAGGGACCACCACCTATTGCTTACCCCCTCAGCTATTCCCTTAAAGTGAGGAGAATAGGGGTCAGAAAACTTTTTTGAGGCTTTGAAGGCCAAATAAGCATTGCTATATCTAATCAGCTTCGCTGTTGCAATGCAGATATAGGTTATACAGTAGTGTAAGTGTGGCCATATTTGACTCATGGTTGTTTTTGAATTTAGTGTACAAAAATGAAACTAGGTCATATAAAATATCTAGTAAGATAAATAAGAATTTATGGCATAAAATTATAAATTTAGTCTGTTAGCATAAACATTGAGCGCTGTCTGGAAAGCATTCTCTACTCTAAATATATGAAGACAGTTTCATTCTTTTCTTACCTGAGATATTTATTAAAACAGGGTAACCTGGAGTCCAGTACATGAAACAATCTCTGTGGATACACATTATAGAAAGAGGATATGAACCCAAGCTCCCAAATAATAACGACTCTTCGGTATAGACATGTCTCCGACACTGAATGTTAAAGGGCAATGAGTTCTCCCTGGCAGTGATTGCAGCAATTGAAAGTTATATTCTCATATCTAGTATATGGATGAAATCGCCCAATATTTTTCTTTGTAGCAAGTAATGTGGCTGTTGAAGACTCAGAAAACGGACTGTCAGCAGAGCTTTCAGTACAGGTAATTGGATCCAGAATGCGTAGAACCTAAGAAAAATGAGAGGTAATGTCAGATGCTTGCGGTATGAACCAGAAAAGCCTTTGGTTTCATTGATATGTAACTGTAAAGTTTCACCTCATAGGTATGGATAAATGATAATATTTGAATGAGGAACTTGAGAAGTTATTTCTCTTTTTTTTCATTTTTTTGTGGGGGAGGGATTGAGACAGGGTCTCACTATATAGTTCAGGCTGGCCTTGAACTCATGATCATCCTTCCGCAGTTTCTACACTGCTGGGATTACCAGCTTGTGCCACTGTGCCTTATTATTTTCTTCTCTTCTCTCTCTCTCTCTTTTTTTTTAAAGGTATGCTGTCACTATGTTGATCAGATGTTCTCTAACTCCTGGGCTCAAGCGATCCTCTTGTCTCAGCCTGCCAAATAGCTGGGACTATAGATGTGTACTATACACCTGGCTTGGACCTCTGTTTTTCAACTAGACATTTCTTGTTCAGTTTAGTTTTTGAGATCCTTCTATTTTTTCAAGTGAATGTGGTTAAGTGTTTGAGGACGAGCAAAGATGAAAGGCTTACCTCAAAGTTATTAATGAATTTGGAGGGGAAAAAGAAGAGTTTCTAAATATACATATTTACTACATGAGTAGTCTTCAAAGACAGAAACACTAGAATTCAGCAGAAGCAAATTGACCGAGGCACTATTATGGATAAAAAGACTTCTGAATTTGGACTGAAGATGATGGGGAAGGATTAAGTGGAGTGCCTCTCAGGCAGATCATGCCATACAAAATATGGAAAACAGGAAAAGGGGTGGACTTAATGAAGATAGGGGAAGAACACCAAAGGTAGGTTACTGCAATTATCCAAGAGAGGATGCACCTTGCAGAAATGGGGCGGAAAGGTTCAAGAGACACTACGGAGGAAGGGCTGTCAGTTTTGTTACATAAGAGAATGGGGAGAGATAAAGAATGGAGAGAACAAAGCGATCTAGACCAAGGCCTGAGAATTAAATAGAACGGTCAGAAAAAAGTTAGGGAGGTATAGGACTATACAATCCAAGGGAAGATAGTATTTTAAGAGAGAAGGAATGGTCAATTATTCCAAATGCTACTGGCAGTGAATGAGTATCCAGTGACATAATTTCCCAGCAAAGCAAATTACAGAGGAGGAGAAACAAGGTCTTGGATAAAGATGATGAATTTAGTTTTAGGTACTGACTCATTCAGTAAACAGCTGATCACCTGTGTGTAACATTATTATGCCAGACCCTGAGGAATGATAAAAAGACATTTCCTATCCCTTAGCAGCATACAGTTTGGAGGAAAGGAGAATCAAGCAATTGCAATTGAATGTGCTATAGGGTTATAGTATATATGTGAACAAAGGGCAGTGGCAGCTTAGAGAAGGCAAAGCTGCATCTGCCAGTGAGATGCAGGGAATGCTGCTTTACACAGGCTGTGCAGAGGCCAGGCAACAGAGAGGTGCTGAGAACGCAGTCCAGGGAGAAAGGCAGGTGTGTTTAGGGGTAGGAGCTACAACAGTCTCTGTGAAATAACAATAATGATATGGGGGCATTTTTGAAGTAACTCTGGCAACAGAGTAGAGGACTGAGTTAGAAACAACTAAGAAATGAGGCAGGGAATGTTGGTGAGGGGATTGTTGCTTTAGGCGAGGCTGGTGGTCTGAGCTTGGGAGAGGGAACAAATCAGGAGGAACTAATAAAATTTGTAAAGTCAAGAGGATTGGGGGATGAAGAAAATAAGAATGACAGCTACCATTTATTATGAAATTGCTATGTATTAGAAACTGGCATGGGCTTTGTAGGTATTTTTTCATCAAATCCTAAAAATATCATACACAGTAGGTATAGTTCACTAAGATAAGGAATATAGGAGATTTTTTTTTTGGGGGGAGATGGGTGTACAAATGTAATACCTAGGAGGAAAGAGGGTATTCTATTTTTAGCTGTGAGTAGAACTAATAGAAATGTGCAGCTAGATGTAAGTCTCTTGAACTCAGAAAAAAAGTATCTCAGGTGGAGAATTCACAGGCATAAAACCCAGGGCATAGGATAGTCCTTAGAGACTACAGAAAGTTTATTTTATTTTATTTTATTGGTATCATAAGAATATAGAAAGTACGTGATGTGAAGAAGGTCTCAAGAGCGGTCCCAGAAAGACGATGCCCCCTCCATCTCAAGTACTGAGAAAGAGTGGGCCCAGGAGTAGCGAAGATCTGGGAGAATACGCTGTTTCAGAAATGAAGGATGTCTAAAATGGTGGGAACAGGTTCCTAAGGAACATCAACTTCTAAAGGCAGAAAAAAAGTCTGTAATAAAGAGCTCCGAGAGTTAGCATGAAGGCCAGGAAATAGTAATGTTACAGATGAGAGTTCCAAGGAAGAAATACTTGATAAAGAAAAACATAACAGAATCATAAAGTAAATACTCTTGACCTTCATATGAGTGCTCTGTGAGAACAGTCAGGCTAGTAGTGTTCTTCACTTTGAAGTGGTGGTCAGAATTAAGGAATGGACGGTATGCAGCAAGAAGTATGTGTCCAAGGTAGCTGGCTGGGAAGGGAAGGTGATAAGGCCTCACCCAGGGAACTTATAATGGAGGGAATTTTATTTCTGTGTTTTAGATGGATGACATTTGGGCATGTTCTTAAACCAAAGGAGGGGAAAAAGCAGAGAAAGAATGGGCACAACAGGAATGGGGGTGGCAATGACGAGCTGGGATGTTAACTATGCTTTGGGGACTAAATGTCTGTAATGCTTCTTATCATAGATGCATGCTTCTAGATATCAAGGGAGACTGCAAGGACCTGTGCCATCTCATGAATTAGGAATGAAAATTCTCTACTGATTGTATGGTAGTAGTTTGATCGGTATCAGAATAAAGAAGGCAAGCAGCTGAATTGACAAAGAACTACTGTAGTTCTCAGGGCACTAGGGAAGAAGGATTAAGGAAGTCTAGAATGAAGTCTAAAAAAAGAATGATGTCTAGGCAAGATAGGAAATGGGGAGAGGCAATGAGTGAAAAACATAGAGATCAAGGGACTAAAAATAATGACATGATCAAGGATGAGGGGTGGTCAGATAAAGGAATTACAGCTAGATAGAAAAGAAGCTGAGCTCATGGATCACAGAGAGATCAGTATCGTAACAGTGGAACAGTTCTAGTGAATGACAGGCTTAGGACAGGAACATGGGAGATGGGTGCTAAAAGCCCTTTTTGGGGGTGCGGTTTGAGACAGTCTTGCTAGGTACTCCAGGCTGCCCTTGAACTCTAAATTCTCCTGCCTCAGCCTCCTGAGATCGGGGATTATAGGCATGCACCATCACTCCCAGCTATGGAGTTGAACTTGGTTATCATCATAAAACTTCGGGTCCAAAGTATTTGCTACATCTCCTGCATGGATCCTGAGTTTTTCCAGGGATGTATGTACTTGATGTACATTATTTGATTCTGCATTATTTGGCACATTCCCATCTATCTGTGGGAATTAAACAATTTCTTAGATGGGAAGTAACCTATTTAATTTATTAGTGATTACTAAATTAAAAATTTTACAGTGTATTTTTTCTCAAAATAAATATGAAGAAAAGGACTATCAATGATCTGTTAGCTAAAAAAAAAGGACCTTTTTAATAACACATTTTTTTCTCCTTAGAATAGAGCAGAAATGTTAGAGAAAATTAAGCTCAAAGAAGGAAATAATTTTCTCCAAGATCACGAGTTACCAGATAAAACCTATATGTAGATCCTGTATTTTCCAATTCCAAATGCCAAGCACATTCCATTAGAACATGTCATTTTTCAGTGAGGCAAGAGTAATAAAATTCCACAGATCATAAAAGCAGCTCCCTAGATCGGAAAAGATACAATCTTTTACCTTTTCAGCCATCTTCTCAGCTGGAGTGCTGCAGAATTCAACTGTTGATGGAATCTTCTTTTGATCGCTGATGCCAACATTTCCCAGGAGATGAGAATGTACTGCTTTCGCCAACTTGTGATTTGTTAATGCCAGTTCTGCTGTGCTGTGAGGCTGGGCACTAGGGGAGTAAGTCTGCTTTCTTCCCCACTGCAAGGAAATCAAGAGCTCCTCCAAAAATCTGCGCAGAACACACATGGACACTGAGCATTAATGAGAGGACACCATATAAAAATCCACAATAGTACATGAGCATATTTCTGAAATCATTCAATACCTTTTCCCTCAGAGTTCAAGAGGTCTGATAAATAACTTATACTACAAAAAGCACCTGTCAGTCAGGAGGCTACTTGGAAAACACTCAAGAAATACTACTTTAAGTATAGGAACTGATTTTATTTGTGTACATCTATGATTTTTCTTTCAGTGAGTTACATTCACTGATTTTTGAATGCTAAACCAACCTATATGCCTGAGATTAACCTTACTAGGTTATAATATGTAAACTTTTTTTATGTCACGAGTTGAATCACTAAAATTTTCTTCAAGATTTCTGCATTTATATTCATTAGAGCTACTGGTCTGTACTTGTCTTATAATGTGTCTGGTTTTGGTATCAAGGTAATGCTGGCCTCAAAAAATGAAGTGGGAATTATTCTTTCTTTCTCTATACTCCAAAAGAACTTGATTTTTTTCTTAGAGGTTTAGTTATATTTACCAGTAAGTCTATTAAGTCCTGAAATTTCCTATGCTGGATGGTTCTTAACTACAAGTTCAATTACTTTAATAAGTCAGGGATGTTCATGTTATGTTTGTTCTTGAGTAGTCTTTGATCATTTATCCTTTAAGGAATTTGCACACTTTGTCTAAATTATATTTATTGGTGTACAGTTGTGAATGATATTCCCTCTTATTATCTTTTCTTTGTCTATACAATTGGAAGTGTACACCCTCTTTCATTCCTGATAGTGTGAATCTTGTTTCCCTAATTAGACTGGTTTCTTTCTCTCTCTCTCTTTCTTTCGCTCTTATTTTATTATTTTCTTCCTTCTGCTTACTTTGGGTTTACTCTGCTTTCTGCGTTTATTAAAAAGCTTAGATCACAAATGAGATCTTTCTTTACTAAACAGCATTTAAAGTAATGAATTTCCCTTTAAATACTGTTAAGTTTCCTCTCACAGTTTTGTGCTTTGTTTTTCTAATTTTCCATGTCATTTAGTCTGACTCATACTGATTATCATAATAATAAATTTCATAAAAGTACAAGCTTTTAAGGAAGGTTGCACATTTTTTGGGGGATACTATCAGTTTTGGTAATTCTGGAGTATATGTATATGAAAACAAATGCTAACACCATAGAGAATCTTCAAAATGATCCCACACAAGACAGCTGCATTCCTTGGCTTCTACCAAAGACTATATGAAACTACTGTAACAATAACCAAAAACTGCATTTAAGTTCAGACATCTTTTCTATTATAAGTAATTCTCTCACCAATTAAGAATGTGAGAAGAATCGTGTTTTTTATTCTTTTAATACTTCCTCCTTTCTAGGGCATCTATTTTAAAGTACTACTCAAAGCATTATGTACATTTAAGTCACACAGACACACACACACCTCAAAGCAAAAAAGTAAACAAACAAAACAAAAAAACTTAAAAAATTTTCACAACAAAAAAACTGCAAAAGCCAGGCCTGGTGGCCCTCGCCTTTGTCTTTAATCTCAGCACTTGGGAGCTGGGCATGGTGGCGCACACCTATAATCCCAGCACTCGGGAGGCTGAGGCAGGAGGATTGCTGTGAGTTCGAGATCAGCCTGGGCTACATAGTGAGTTCCAGGTTAGTCTCAACTACATAGTATGACCCTGTCTCAAAAAACAAAACAAAACAACAACAATAACAACAAAAAAACTGCAAGAGAAACCAGAAAAGTTTAGAATGTAAAGCAGTGCTGTACTTCTGGGTAGCTATCATTTCCTGACGAAACTGTTCCCGTTCATTCAGAAGATCTTGTATAGCACTTTGTGCATCACGGTTTTGACGCTGTAAAGTTGCTTTGGAGTTGGTTAACTCATCTGCCATTACCCTGAAAAAGAAGACCAAAATCTTACCTACAGACTCTCCAACAATAACCATGTACAGAAGTTAATATATTAACAAAGAAGATTTAACATAGTCAAATTTCTGTGTAGCTTTAAATATTTCACTAAAAATTATTTTAAAATATTTACAAGTTTAGAGCTGATTAAAAGCATTCAGCTGAAATATTCAGTTACAAAATGACAAATTACACAAGCATTTTATTTTTCTATATAGTGACTTCTGAATTTACCTTAATCTTACTGCAGCTTGTTATTTGATGAAAAAATTAAATGTTTTTAAAATATGGAAACATTTTAAGAGGAAAACAAAAATGAATTCTATTTCTACTACTCTACTACACTTTGCTCCTTGAAAAACATTAATATAGGATGGCTTCTCTGAAAGGAAGGTCAAGGCTTAAATTTCTGCCTCACATACCCCTGCTTTTTTTATGTGTAACCGATAGTTTCTTACATAATTTCCCCAAAAATTATATGTATTTCAACATAAATGTTTAAAAAATAAAATTAAGAAATTATTTACAAAAAGGGATTATTTAATACAAAGTTTTCTATACCATACTTTTTTCAGTTATCTTTGAAATTGTCCATCTTAGTACATGTAGAGCTCTCTCATTTCCAGTTTAAGAAAATCAGTCTCATGCTTTCTTTTCATTGTTATTTAACCAGTCCTCTATCGATACAACTGAAGCAAAAAGTTAAAGAATAATCAGCTGAAAATCTTAAAACTTAAAAGTCTCAGATCATAGTTACTACTGAATTTCTTTAAATGAAAACAATTTTGACATTAAATAAAACAATAATTTTTATTGTCTAGATTGTTACTATCAATGTTGATCAGTGTTGTCCAGAAAGTTAATCGGTGTAACATACAATGGTACCTTGGTTCATGAACTCAATGCTCTCTACAGTTCTGATCACAAAGAAAACTGAACCAGAACTGAATCAAATTTCCCCGTAAGGTCAACATTGAGCCTAACCCCTGAATTTGATTCGGTTCTTGTCCGATTTGGTTTTCAACCAGAATCACGGAAAGAATCAAATTTGAGAACTGAGGTATCTGTGTATGTGTATGCATGATTTCCCTTTTAAAAGTGTTTAGTAAGAAGTAACTTTGATTCCATGTCAAATAAATAGTTATTTTATTAAAACATAGCATACTATACTGGAACAACTAGAAAACAAATAAATGAAGGACTTTACAGAATAATCAACTACTAAAAATATCCTAATATTCATATACGATGTACACATTTCCTGAAAACGTATACATTACAATCAGTGATTCCCTGGTCATTCATACACATTAGGCAAGTGATCTACAACTGCACTACATTCCCAAACTAGGTGTGTGTTTTTTAACCTGTGTTAGAGAGTATGCCATAAAAATATTATAATTACTAATTATGCATGAGAAGAAAAAGGTTGGGAAGCTTGTTACACAGACGAATAAATATAAATGCAAATATATTATCTCAGGGACTGAGAACAATATTTAAGTTCTGCAGATGGGAGATGGAGAAAATAATCTAGTTTTGCCTTTTGCGATTTTAACATTTACCAGTTGTCTGAGTTTAACATTCTGTTTTGGTTTTAAACACTGCACAAGGGCAGATTTCTAGAATGAGGGAGGATTCTTATTTCTCCATTTAGGGTGACCTTGTGCCCCTTCAGAGGAGAGAAAGTGCTACATATTAAACAATAAAGTAATGTGACAATATTAGAAATTTTCACCCTATATCAAACAACAGATAGAAGCAAAGGAAATAATCCAGGCTCAGAAGTACATCATTGTAATCCCAGTGGCTTGGGAGCATGAGGAAAGAGGATTACAAATTCAAGCCCAGTCTAGGCAATTTAGTGAGAGCCTGTCTCAAAATAAAAAAATATATAAAGGGCTGGGGATGTAGCTCAGCGTGAAACTCCCAGTATTATAAACAAACAAAACCTAGGAAATAAAGTTTTCATAGCTTGTATCTAAAATGTTCCCTCATGTGTTCCCAAACACATCAAAGCCTCATGTGTTTAGAAGGTGAATGGATCACGTGAGTGCTAATTCCACAGAGGATTCATCCATCCATGGGTTCACAGCTGACTTTGAACCTGGTTGAAGGTAGGCCACTGGAGGCATGATCTGAAGGGGACTTGTTCTTGTCTCTGGCCTCTTCTTTCTCTCTCTGCTTCCTGGCTGCCCTTTTCCTTTGCCATATCCCTCTGCCGTCCTGTTTCTGCCTTGGGGGCAGCCCAAAATGGTCTGAAATCAAGAGCCAAAATAAACCTCTCCTCCTTCAAGTTGCAGTGTTGGGTATTTTGTCCCAGTGAAGGAAAAACAACTAAGACAGTAGTATTATTTACAATAGGAAGTACCTGCTTGCGAGGAATTTACTCCGCCACACATCACACTGTATTGACATACGTTCTAACTGTTCCGAGAGCTGAGCTGTGTTTCGACTAAGGGCTTCATTTTCTAAAATAAGTTGATTCTTCTCACGGGCTAGACGTTCAAAGTGATACTGAAGATCATCCCCAACAGAAGCCACCAGCAACTTTTTTAACTCACGATTAACCTAGAAGAGAAGAACATAACTAACATGGGCTCAAAGTAATATCACTTACTTTAATGGAAGAAAATTAATGAAAGAAAAACTATATTTCTGTATAACTTGGGTCTCCATCATTTAAAGCAAGTATCAGAAAGTAATATTTAATATTTACATTGTAACATATACAAACATAATCTCTATTTATAGACAATGTGGTTATAAACTGAGCCTCTTCAGTAATAAAGTACAAATCATTATCATGAAAATAAACTGCTTCCACTCAACACATAAAGGGAAAAAAAAATCAGAAAACTACATCTATACATTTTGCCAAAAAAAGGAGAATGTTTTACATGGTTTTTCTTTCAACATTTATAAATTAATCCTTTTATGTCCTAGGAATTTCATCTTTAGGAATTTAAGAAAAGGAAGTAATCTAGGATAGCTATAGGCAATTCTTTATACTGTTATTGAAGAGAGCAAAAAAATTAAAGCAAATGTTAATAACAGGTATTGCTGTAGCCTCTGAATACCACTAGTGCAACTAATAATTATGAAAGAATGATGACATAGGAAAACATAAATAACTAAAACAATGTAGGTTATAAGATAAAATGAACCCAATGTATACAGTACACAGTTCTATCTGGATGGTACATTGTAGGTAGTACCATTTTCAACTATATTTTTCTATATTTTCTAAAATGTTTAGGGATAGGTACATATTACATTTGTATTCAGAAATTAAAGACATACAAAATTATATTATTAAATACATTAAAAATGTATATGGATGAGAACCACTAACCACAGTGTCAACAAAAACCACCATCTAGTAAAAAAATGTATAGTCTCACAGAAAAACAAGGGAGGGCTAAGTCAATTTTAGTAAGACATAAAGATTAAAGCAACACAATCAAGCACTACAGGGTTTTGGTTTTTTTTTTTTTTTTTCATTTTTAATGAAGATGCAATAACTTGTTCTACCATTATTTTTATTCCATATATCACATATACACGGGGCAAAGATATTTAAAATTTATGAATCCTTAAAACAAGGACTGCTCACTCATCATCTTCAAAGCCTGACTTAGGCTGGCGGTATATAATGGTAACCTACTAGTATGGTTTATAGGTGATCTTGTCTAAAGCACCTCATCCAGAGATCTCTACACAATCAGTAAGAAGCATTGAGAGAGCATGAGAAATTTAAGAAGCATTTTAGATAAATGACAACCTAGGATAATGACATTTCTACAAAGAAATAAAGTTTTCTAATGCAGGCTTAGAAGGCCTTGGTGTAAGAATACTCATTAAAGGCAATTAGGCAATTCTTACCTCTGTCTGCACCCGGAGCTGGTTTGAAAGACCTTCTTTGTCCTGTAGTAACCTCCTTTCAGAGTTCTTGAGCTTTTCCAATATATTTTTTACCTCTGAGAGTTCCTTTCTAGGTTCTTTAACTCCCTCTGAATGACCAAGGAATTCTCCTTTATGATATCCCAGAGACTTAACTTTTGCATTTTTGTTGGGGATATCATGAGTTATAGCAGCTTTGGGAACAAATATTCGTACAGCTTCAATTTCCACTGCTTTTTCAGTGAGAATCTTCCCCAGCTGAAGAACTCCTGGACTCTCTGAGGGAACTGCTTTCTTTCGTGGACTCTGAAGAATGTGATGCTTTATGGATTGGACTCCAGGGGTGACTTCAACAGACTTAGGTGGCTCCTCGGTTTCCATTCCATCTCCTGCTCCTCGGATTGGGGTTGAAGTCAGGGTAACTAACAAAAGGGAAACAAAACATGAACTACTTACTAAGAAGTAATGTTAAGAAGATGACAAGACTGCTTTGCCCTGCATTCAGAATTATTGGCAATGGAAAAAATTCAAAGTAAATAGTAATTTTCAAAACAGTCACGTGTCAATTAAGACTTACAAGCTCAAACTTTAAGTTAATGGCTTATGTCTTGGTAGAAAATGCAAGACAATGGGAATCATGGTATTAAGTTCTGACTTCTATTTTTCAATATGACCCTAGATAAATAATTTTTTTTTACCTAGTGCTGAAGAGCTAGGAAAATAATTTAATCCTCCATTAATCTCTTTATCCTGATATGCAAAATGGAGACAGTAAACTACAGGGTTGTGGTAAGACAAGTGATAAGGTTAATTGTGTGACATAAGGCAAATACTCAATAATGCTAGTTAAATATAAAAATACATATTAGCAGTAGATATTAGGCATAATAAAAATACAGAGAATATTTACATTTAGAAAACATTACAGTAAAAGACATATTACCATTAATTCTCCTCAAAATATTCTCTCTCTCTTTGAACACACTTATCCCCCATTGTTCTAGCCACTTTTTGAAGCAATTCTAGAAGTCCTCTTTTGTGAATTTCTTTAGTTGCAATGTCATGGCTACTTTGATATCCTGAATTGATTAAAAACATTTACCTTTCATTGTCATTTTGGCTTTGGAGAAGAGCCAGAAGTTGTGTGGTACCAGATCCTGTGAAAAAGTGGATAAGGACATACTATAATGTCATTATATGCCTGACTTTCTATTGGATGGCACTTGGCAGCAGTGTTCACTACATTTTTGATCACACATCATAAAGACATTAAAGAAGAAACTCTGCTGGCATCCTGTTTCCCAAATTCTGACTCTTGAAATGGAATTCTCCAGCCAAAGGATTGCAGAAATGGTAAGGTAAACTTGTTTGGAGTACTGTTAAAGTTGTTTTACTGCAAAGAAAATATCTAACAAGAATACTTTCTAAAAAAAAAAAAATAATACTTTCCTGAGGTTTGTTAGGTTTCTATTTCACTGAACTTACTTCCTTCATCTTTTATTTTATTATACAATACAAAAACTACAAAATAAAACAGGTCATCATCCTACATATAACCACATATCCTCTGGTTTTTATTATCATAATTTTGAAAGACAGTATTAAAATGTACAGGTAAAAAAATTTACTCATTTCTCATTACTTCAACTACCCTTCAATATTTTACATACGTGTAATCATAATACATTTTGTAAGCTTAACATATTATGTTTTGCAATAATTTCGTATTTTAAATTTTATGGCCACCACATATTGCTTTAGGTTAATATGCATAATCTATCCTTTTGCTGGATATTTATACTACTTAAAATTTCTCACCACAATAAATAATGGTTTAGTGAACAAATCTATGCTATGTTCCCAAGAGCTGACCTCAAACTTCTGGACTAAGGGTTACTCCCACCTCAGCCTTCCAAGTAGCTGGGATTATAGGCTTATGCCACAACACCTGACTTGAAATATTTGTTAAAAAAAATCCAAAGAAGAGAATTAGAGGGTTTGGTAAAGATCTGTACTGCCAAGCTGCCTTCCAAAATTATTCTGTAATGTGTCAGTAGGTCTCTTCTTTATGTCCTTATGTAGTTTTATTCTTTTGCATACTCAATTCATATTATCTCATATAATATTTAACAGTAAATTAGAATACATGTAAACATGTTTAGCATGGTGTTTGCCACAGTAAGCACTCACAAATGTTAGGTCCTATTGCTTTTATTATTATTAGTCTTTAAATACTTCCTTGCAAACTCTGGATATTGATAAAAGGGTGAAACTTTATTAATGTTATAAAACATAACTCTGACTTTTTTTCCTTTACACAACTCTTAAAATTATATCACTAGAGGGCTGGGGATTTAGTTCAATGGCACCGTGCCTGCCTTGCAAGCGCAAGGTCCTGAGTTCAATCCCTGTTACCACCACCACCACCACCACCACCAACAACAACAACAAAGTATCACTAGACTATATAGGACTATTTTTTCATTTAATAGGTTGTTTTGTTTAAATGACAATGTAGGAATACTGAATTACACTAAAAGGGAGAAAATTATCTGGGACGGAATTAATGTGCTCTATTTAACAAAATATTTTTATGTTTGAATAAAAGTATTCTTCAATATGAAATGTAAACTAAAATACATTTGAGACAGATTCTGCTTTGAAAAAGATAAGGAAAGGAATACAGTATTTCAGAACATCAGATAAAGGGTTTGATATATTAGTGAAAACATGCTATTGTATCTTAGCACTGAATCATTAAAAAATAATTCTTTTCACGTTCTTAAAATCTGGTTTTAATTTACCTAACTTTATCTAGTGTAGATTTCATCTTGTTACTAAGATATTAGAGCATTTAGGAAATAATGTAGAGTCATGTATTAACTATAGATTAATAAAATATTAAACAATAATAAAAAGACCACTATGGTCATGAAAACCAGGCCAAGTGAGTCTGAGGAAATAAGAAACAGGTGTGATACTTCAATCATGGTTAGGCAAGATTTCAGGTAAGTCAAAACATTTTTGAGTTGGGATTTTAAGTATCACAAAATGGTTAATGAAGGGGTTGGGGATTTAGCTCAGCGGTTCGGTGGTCTGCCTTGCAAGCGCAAGGACCCAAGTTCAATCCCTGGTACTAAAAAAATTAAAAAAAAAAAGCTTAATGTTTAAAAGGCAGAGAAATTTTAATGGGGATTTAACAGAAATCTCTACAAACAATATACATGGTAAAATTCCAACCAACATATTTCAACTCTAATTTACTATTTATACTGTTTTACTTACTCAAGCATTTATGAAAATCAAACTATGCTATGTACCACATGGCAGCTCCTGCTCAGTAACAACTATGATTCTAGCTCATGAGCATAGGGAAGCAGGCAGTAAGTGCCAAGGCTGTACATTTTCTCACCTGGTAGCTCACCTTTCATAATTCTATTTTTCTCTGTGACACATGCAGAATCCTTTATTACACAGGCACTAGACACAATCTGGGGCGCATTCATGAGCAATGACCTTCTCTCAAGTGGGAAGACACAATCTAGGCAGCTCTGTAATTATGAGTAATGCTTGAGTAAGGCAAAACATTAATCCTTACTCTTCTACACACTTTAAATGGAATCAACACAACACTTTTTCATCCTACTCATTATTTCTCCATCTGATCATTTCTCAATAGAGTAAAACATATCTAAGCTTTACGAGTCATACTTTTTTCTTTGTCTTGTGGTATGGGAGACTGAACCCAGGGCCCTTGCACTGAGCTACATCCCCAGCCCCTTTTAATTTTTTATGTAGAGACAAAGTCTTGCAGAGTCATGAGGTTGGTTGCCCAGGCTGGGTTCAAACTTGTGATTCTTGTGCCTTAGTTTACCAGGCCTGTACCACTACACCTGGTTGGTTTATAGCTCATTCTTACTGCTTTTCCCAAGGAATGGTATATGTAAGGAATACCAAGGTCATTAGTCTAACATTCTATAATAAGGGTTGGCAACCTTTTTCTGTATAGGGCCAAAAAGTAGATATTTTAGGCTTTCTGGATCAAGAGGTAAAGTCAAGGATACTATCTAGGTACTTAAATAAGATGTAAAACACACATTTTTAATCAATGAAATTAAATTAATACCAATTAAAGTTTTTAGCAATATAGATCTACTAATGAGTAGAACATAATTCTATTTCACTATATTTGGGATGACACTTGATGTACATGGGGTCCAATGTTAATGTTCTCTATCATCAAACAGCACACATTTTCAGGAGATGTGAAGGCCACAATTTGCCAATTCCTGTCTAGAATACGGAGGCAAAACAAGTATGATTTTACAGTCTGTCACTGAGCAAATATTTTTCCTTTATTGGTAACAATGTAAGATTACAGAGATGGGTTCTCTCTACCAGCAGGATGGGATAGTAGAAAGAACACCATTCTCTTAAGTTAACATAACCTAAAAATCTACTGCCATGCACTGTAAACCTTGGACAAATCACTTTGTCCTCCTCTATACTACCTTGGAGCTTTCGGAATAATGCAAATATTATATTTTAAAGTAACTCGCATCTCTTGCAGACCACACTGTTGGCAGCCCCTTAAGGTGACAGCACCTCCAACTCTTTGCATCATCAGCTAAAGAAATGTGCTTGGCACAGAAAAATAAAAGGACTGATTTTATGAAGTCCATCAATCGGTTAACACATACTCAGAAGGTTTCATTTAAACATCCAATAACTAAGTCTCTTGAAAACTGCTTTCTTCCCCCTCTACACTAAATCATTAATTCTGAACTCAGTTATATAGTCTGACACACTTTTCAGAATATATGCAAATTCAATTATAAAAACAGATGTTACTTGGTAATTTAAAATCAGTAATCTTTTAAACATCACCAATGTGACCTAATAAAGATTAGTTATTATTAGGTTAGAAAATATGCTACAGACAATGGACTTTTGAGTTAGTCCAACACTTAGTGAAGTAGTATCCAAACACTCTTCTTGGTACTCACTCAAATAAGTGTAAATAATTCTGCATAATGCATCTCCTTGCAGTTTCACAGCGCATATTGGTAATATTAAATTATATTATATATGAAATACAACCTCTCTTTTTATCCATTATTTCCCAAATCCAGCTGCTCATAAAATCCTTCCTCACTAAATCTCTATTATTCTATAGAACAGTGGTCAAGTTAATTTTATACATATTTAAATGTCTCAGACTTTACTATCTGATCTTTCACGAAAGGAACTTTAATAGCTATAATTTTAATATTGCATCCAATAAAATTTTTGAACTTCAATTTTCTAATGGTTATTATTTATTGTATTTTTCCCTTTCAGATCAGCCCAAGAAACAATGTTACATCCCTCTTCTGATGACAGTATTGATCATATGCCCTCTGAGTGGAAGTTCTACTGCTATCCCAACATGGTTCTTCCCTGAGGGAGTAACAAGAAATGCACACAACAGACATCAAGCATAAGTACTCCTTTTCTCTGACCAGGTGTCTTAATTATTTTCTCACTGCTGAGAGAAAATACCTGGCAACCACAAGTTAAAGGAGGGAAGGTTTATTTCGCCTCTGAGCTTGTAAAGGTTTCAGTCCATAGTCAGCAAAGCAGAGGGGCATCTGAGAGGAGAATTAGTCCATGGCACAGCAAACCGAAGGCAGTAAGGAAGAGCAGCAACACAGCCTGCCTTCTTTCTGTCCCTCTATATTACATCCAGGTTATCAGCCTATTTATTGGTGCCACCAGTATCCAGGGCAGGGCTCCCACTATTCACAACCTTAATTCACATTCACACACCCTAACCCAGCCATCTTTGAGTGCACATCTAGATAACAAGCCGTAACATTCAGTTGCTGCCCCCCACCAAAGAATCACACTCATCCCTTTATGAAAAAGGCATTCAGTCCACCTCTAAAAGTCGTCAAAGTCCTAACAATTTCAGCACTGCTGAAAAGACCAAGTCCAAAGTCTTCTCTGAGATTTAAGGCAAACTCTTAGCTGTGAGCCCCCACACAAATGAAAACAGTTAAACATTTCCAACATACAGTGGCAAAAGATAAACATTTCTCTTCTAAAAGGTACAAATGGGATAGAAAGGAATGGGAACAAAGCAAGACCAAAATCGAACAGGGCAAACAAAATCCTGTAGTTCCACATCGAGTATTTAGAGCTATCTGTGGCAAGATGTGAACTCTAAAGAGTTTGGGTGGCTCTATCATTATAGCACTGCCAGGTAGTTGTAGCTCTTGGGGCTTCTCTCTTGGACCAGCTTTACTTATTCCTTAAGATTGTCCTCAGATATCCAGGTTTCTGGCTTCTCCAACCTTCTTCAATTTCTACTGCACTTTGGACTTCACACTCAGCTTCACACACTGTCCTCTCAGGTACTGCCTGGCCTCCCAGGCCTTCTTCTGCAGTCTTAGTGGAAGCCTTCCTGATGCCTCAACTGCTGTGTCCCGAATGTGGCTAAAACCAGCACTAAGTGGATGATGGCAAGGTCGGCTTCTAGCTAGAGCAGTAGCCAGGCTTCCTTCTCTTTTGGCTTTAGTAGTCCAGTGCCTGGACTGCTTATCATTCTGAACCCAATTTCAAGGAACAAATTCTCTAGGCTGCAGACCATTCTAGAACATGGTGCCCTGGGGTTCTCTCAAAGCAAAGTCTTTCACCTTTGCAATTTTGAGGCAGCGAAGAGTGGAGTTCTGCTTGGTTTTTGTCATGCCCTCAGTTCCTCTTTTCTATTGCCTTTTCCTAAATGTTTGGCTTTTTATTACTGATATTTCAGCAACAAAGTTCTCCTCTGCTTCATCTTTGTAGTCTGCCACTTTGACAGAGATTCCTTGCTGGCTAAACTCAAAATGTTTTAAATTATTCTGTTGGGTCCTTTGCTCTTGATTCTCAACACAGACCTGGCTAAAATATCTATGGCAGATCAATGTCAGTGACAGTAGCCATATCACTGCTTCAACATTAGACTGCCTTGAAATTTCTTCCATCCGATTAGTCTGCTGCCCTTAATCTCAGTCTCAGGCAAAGTCGCTGAACTACAGCAGAATGCAGACAGATTTTCTGCCAAAGCATAACACACATAGTCTGGAGTCCAACAGCCAATGCAGCCCTGTTCCTAACTGAAACCTCCTGAATCTTGTCTTTACCAGATGTACTTCTGTCTGCTTTTCTGGTTTTCTAAGCTCTGACTAGTATATCTCCATCAAGTTCACCTTGAAGCATCTCATCAAAGCAGCTCCAATGCTGTTTCTTCATCCAACATCTCTAAACCTTTCCAAAATCTTCCCACAAGCCAGGTCCAAAGGCTCCTGAACCACATGGCTAGGTAACATCACAGCAACAATCCCACTTCTCTGCTACTAAAATCTGTCTTGTTATTTTTTCATTGCTGAGACAAAATAGCCAACACCCACAAGTAAAAGGAGGGAAGGTTTATTTTGGCTCACAGTTCATAGGGGTTTCAGGGCAGAATGGCAGAGGAGCATCACAGAGGAAAAATAGTCCATGGAGTGGCAAGCAGAAGGGAGCTAGTAGCAGTAGCAGTAGCAGCAGCAGCCTTCTTTCTTTCTATCCCTTTATACAATGTTACCTTTGTTCACAAATTTAATTCTCTACACAGTTCTGGTTGTAAACCAAATTGGAAGAGAACTGAATCAAATTTCTCCATGAGGTCAATACTGAACCTAACCATTGAATTAGATTTGGTTCATGTCTAACTTGATTTGTGACCAGAATTGTTGAAAGAATCAAGTTTGTGAACCAAAGCGCCACTGTATTCCATTCAACTTATAAGCTTATTGATTGGTGTCACCCATGCCAAGCAAGGGTAGAGCTTCTGTTTTCTATACTCTTAACCCACACTGACATACTGTAATCCCGTCATTTTTGAAACTCCCTACCTATAAGTTCATGAGGCTTTGGGGGGACATCTAGATACAAGCTATAACACCAAGCTATATAAGTAACTTTTGTCGACTAACCATAGCAGACAATTTATTAAGTATGAACAGAACTAAAAATTAGGTTATCTTCCCCTTTAGGAATAACTAAGATCAGATGAAGTAATGCACATGAAAGTGCTTTATAACACTAGTACTTATTAGAAAAAAAATTATTTTAACCTCAGAGATCTTTAAATAATACATCTTCAATTGCTAACCATGATATTATATTTAAATTTTACTTTCTGTCAAGCATCATGCTGGTTGCTTACACATTAGTGTAGTTACCATTTACTTGCTCTTATTTCTTATTCACTCTGTCTAATATTTTTATTAGATTCTGTTTTTTTTTTGGTACCAGGGATCAAACTGAGGACCTTGTGCTTGCAAGGAAGGTGTGGTGCCACTGAGCTAAATCCCCATCTGATTTAATAGTGTAAAACCTTTCTAATAACCTAATGCACAATTAAATTAAGTTCAGATGTTTATTAACATCATTTTTCTTTCTTATTCCCTAAATATTTTTCAATCCCCTTTTTAAAAGTTTGCCACCTGAGGTCTGTTTTCCGCAAAGTTCATTGCTAGAAAATAATTTCCTATCTCTCACTGAAGGGTCTAGCCTGCAGAACTCATCCTACTCAAAGAATAAGATGGGTGAGGAGGAGTTCACTTTATGATATGTTAAGATTGGTGCCTATATTTAAGAGATGATATAAGGGTCTGAATTACAAGAGAAGAGATCTGGGCTATTGCTAGATTTGGAAGTTGTTCCTGTAGATAATCAATTATTAAAGCTCTGTGTGATAGTAAATCATAAATGTCAACTTGATTGGCTTGAGAAGTGACCAGGAGGTTAGTAAAGTACATTTCTGGGTATCTGAGTGGGTTACTGGGGCATGACCTTGGGGAACATATTTGGTCCCAGGCCCCTTCCTCTCTGGCTCTTTTCCTGTGTGCTTGTTTCCTAGTAGTCATGAGGTGGGCAATTTTCTTCCACCAACTTTCTGCCATGACCTTTTACCTTGGAGTCAGCCAACCATGTACTGAAACCTCTAAAATAACGAGCCAAAGTAAACTTCTTTGAATTGTGTGTCACGTGTCATGTTCCAGTGATGAAAGCGAATACAGTGATACCTCAGTTTTTGGACTTAATTTGTTTTACAATTTTGGGGAAGATGGTTGTGTTTGTCTTTGTGTGGGGAAGATGGCCACAGTCATGTTTGTCATCTGATCTGAAGTTCATAAACAGAAGAAAAAAAATTGCCAAATGCTTGTTGATGAACCAAATATTGTTTGCAAACAGAAATGTTCATGAACCAAGTCATTACTTTACATTATGAAAGCAGAAAAGAGGCCGAAAAACATTGATATTTAAAAGACAAAACAGAATAAGAAGCTGAAAATGAAAGAAGATATAGTTAAAGCAGCACTATCCAAAATAATTTTTTATTCTGCCACCTTCCTTATAAGTGCAAGGACTGGAGTTAGATTCCTCTGTAACAAAAAAAAAAAAAAAAAAAA